AGTGTTTTATTAGGTTTAAAGCCACGAGCGCGCAGCGCGAGTGGCTTTAGACCTAATAAAACACGACCTGCGAGTTTTTTAAATGGCTTCAAAAACGTGTGCATAATAAGTCAAATCTTTATATAAAAATCTTTATATAAAAATCTTTATATAAAAATCTTTATATAAAAATCTTTATATAGTTTGCATATATAACAATGGTCTTTTGTTAAAGTGTTCTTTAGCTGGTATAAAGACGTATGCACGTGACTAATTTCTTACTCAAGATTGGATAATTGGTTCATGAATTATTAATGAGTTTTTGAAAGTAATTTGTATCACTCCGTGGTCCCCGGAAGTGATTTTCGCATATATAATTTGGCTTCACTTTTCACACCTAGAGAAGCTATATCCAGTCTACTACTAGAAATACATCCATGCAATAACCCCTCGCCTGTTTTCAAAAGATGTATACTCAGTGCCGTTGCTAGCACTTCGTCTCAGGGGGGGTGTGAGGTTAGATAGAGGGGGGGGGTGGTTACCAAAATGTTTCCAGATGTACAAAAAATTTTCAGGACAAAAAATAATTTTTCGGCAAATACAGTTGTTTTCCAAATTCACTTTCTCATGTCCTGAGAATTACCTGAATTCCCCTGAAAATCTTCTGCAAATCTACTTAAATTTATCTAAAAGTGCACTGGAAATCTACCTGAAATTCCTCATGAGCAATTATCAGGGGTGTTGCCCCCCCCCCCCAGTGAGTTCCAAGCAAACACTCTCTGATTTATTGTTCGTGTATTTCACCTCCCAAAATATTGTGCATCATACTATAGAGCATTTTGCATTCTGCATGCTCTAGCATGGTTCAAATTTATGAATTTTTATTATATAAAGTATAGTGTTTTACAGAGATTTCGAGTACTGATAAAAATGATAATCTCACATGTGAAATTATTCATGATAATCTCACATGTGCAAATTACCGCCTTTTCAATTATCGCTTTTCTGCAAAAATTATCGCTAATCCTTAATTTCAAATGTTAGAATGTTAGGGTTTGTAATCCAAGTGAGAATATATACATTTTAAGACCTAACCAGGAACGACTGCAAAAAATGCAGCACAATGTCCTCTGGTAGGAATTGAACCTACGTCCCTGCAATTGCAGTGCAGCGCTCTAACCAACTGAGCTACAGAGGCCAGCTGTCGAGCTTTAACCGTAAGTTCATGTATATTTAGGTAATCGGGTGTGCGGGTTTGATAAGGTGGACTTCAATAATTTGGATTCTTGCACTTCACTTGGTGGAATTAAAATTAGAATGTTAGGGCTTGTAATCCAAGTGAGAATATATAGATTTGTATATTCTCACTTGGATTACAAACTATTCTCATTTGGATTACAAAATATATACACAAAATATATACATATACTATACCGGTACATTTGTATATAATTTTCTCACTTGGATTACAAAATATTCTCAGTTGGATTACAAAATATATACATGTATATATTGTCACTTGGATTACAAATCCTAACATTCTAATATTGATTCCACAAGTGAAGTGCAAGAATAAAAAATTATTAATTTCAAATGCCCCGCCGGGGCTAAGGTTAGAGTGGAAATGCCCAACCCCCGGGATGTGCTTTACAGGAAAAAGGCTGGGCGAGGGGGATGGGCACATTTGGATTTGGCTGATGCATTAAAAGTCCTGTGCTTATTCCAGACTGCTCGTCAAATATTTCTTGCTAGAAGTAGAAATTTACTCTGACCACTGGATGAAGAAGACATTAAATAAGTACTGGTCAATAAACAGAAATGTATTTTATTTCATAGTATTACAATTTTATTTTTATACTATAAAAATAAAATATAAACATGCAGCATAGAATATGCAAATTCGAGGCAAAATTATTGTTGAATCGGTTTATTTATAGGATTTTATAACAAATAGCAACTATAAAAGTTTGTACCTTGTCTTCACATCGCTTTATTCTGTTAGCAAATGCTTTTAAATTTACATATTTTAGAATCAGTTCCTTTCCTGGTAACTGCATTTCTAAATGAAATCATCGTGAGTAGTGAGTGCTCAGCAGGCCGTTTTACTATAAACAAATTTTAGGAATTGATAACAACTTTGAAAAATATATCGTTGCACATTCGGTCACAGTCGGAAAAATGTTTGTACCGTCGCTTGCAACTAACGATGAACAGTCGCTCATAAAAACATTCGCGTGATTAGAATCTTCAATGTTTGTCAAGAACAACAACACTTAATTGTTGTTTCCCATGTGTACAATAATAAGTAACAAAACTTTGTCTGAACGTGTTGGGCTAGAGACCTACTGGAAACTTTTACAGGCTTTTTAATGAGAATGAGAATGTTTTATCTGCAACTGTTCACCCTTAGTTGCCACCGACGGTATTTGACAGCATAAAATTGCCTGTGGCTGTGATAACTGATATAAATAAAATACAGTCTGGTTATACTGACTTCAGCATGTCATGAAATAGTCGAATATAGAGGGTCGAATATCATACTTCAACTTGTATAGCTACAGTATCATTGGTACATAGCGTTGTGAAGACAAGCCTTTGCTTACCTTTCGCTGCAGCCTTTTTTTCCATGCTTCTCTACGCTTTCCCAGGCGAGCTTCTCTTTCCTCAGCAGTCTCCTCGAGCAAACGTTGTCGTCTTCGCTCCCTCCTTTTCGCAAGACGTTCGGCTTTCTTGTCGTTTCCTTGCCGCTCTTCATTTGGCTCCATATCTTTTCAATTGGTTTTTGATACCGTAATTGTTTTATTAAACTTTTTGTAGAACAAATTGCTTTGAAAGCTGTCAAAGTTTTTTGGAAACGTACAAAATACTGTAGTTTAAAAAGCAAATTATTTTCATGAAGTATCTGTCAGTTGAAGTCGTCATTTGTCATACAACAACAAATTTTAAATTTGACCAATCAGTGTTCGCTATCCATGACAGTCCGCCATATTTTTGAGATCAGTGAGGATGACCACCCACTCAAGGTTCGTTGGTCACGCCCGCGATATTTGGTGAACTTTAGACTTGGCTAATGCTTTCGTTTCCCCGGGTATGAATAGCCGGGGGGAATTAGTACCCTCGCACGGCGCTTCGCGCCGCCGTCTCGGGGATTAAGGACCGGTCATAAAGTAACTGCTAGGGTGGGCTGGAGTGATTTGGGATGGGTCATGGAAAATCTTTGGGCACTTTCGATGGGCCGCCAATTTTTTTGTATGTCCACGGTTGGGCCACGAAACAAAATCCCATGCATGTCTACTTCAAAAAAATAAAGATATTAATAATAAAAGTGAACAAAACTAGCCAAATTACAAAATGCAAATAATGCTATTGAAGCCCGTACTTTGTTTATATACTATGAACAACAAGAAGTGGTCGAATCACAGCAAATACAGCCAAATGGAGAGCAGCTCAGTATCAATGTGTTGGTCAAGCTTGGTGGAATTATGTATGTCAATACAGTGCCGGTGTATATTTACAATGTTCATACCTGCAAGTTTTTTTTATTGTAAAAGTGTATTTTCCCAATTTAGATTGGTTGGGTCATGAAAAATTTTTGCAATGTTAGATGGGCTTTGAAATTTTTATCTACATCCTAAGATGGGTCACCGAAATTATTGGCAAAATTTGTGATTTACCTCCAGCCCACCCTAACAGTTACTTTATGACCAGTCCCTTAGATCAGTGGGTTAGACAGAGTAAAATTAGTGGTGTTTACACTACAAGCCTTGGCCTAGCCTTGGCCAGGCCAAGGTAAATGTGGCATGTTTACACCATTACACTATTTTTTTGAGACAGGTTCACTTTGGCCAAGAATTTTGTTATTAATTTTGTCTATTTTTATGTGTTGTGATGTTGTCCGCTGGTTGTCCGCTAATCTCTCACTGCATGTGGACACACGTTGCCATGAAAATAAAGCCCCAGCCAGGGTCGAAAGTGTTTACATTTTCACAAGCCTAGGCTTAAGCCAGGTCTGTTGTAGAGAGCCCAGATTTCCTGGCTAAGGTCAGGACAAGGCTAGGCCAAAGTCTGTTTACACTGTCAAAATGTTGGCCAAGGCTGGTAGTGTAAACACGACTATTGAATGCATCAGGGCGCATTACGGCTAAATGGTTAGTGTTTCCCACAATATGGTAAAAAAGTATAAACTTTTGCTAGCTTGAGCTTGAATGATTTCCAAGCTAAACCCTTCTAGAGTTTACCCTGTATATATGTGCCTGTTTATATGATAATGGCATGACTGGAAAGTAGGTTTTAATCCAGGATGATGCTGGCAGGGATGATATAGTGCTTATATGAGAGTTTCTTGTCCTGGCAGGTGGGATCCTGTCTAGGCCAGATATAAGTAGAATAATTCACTTTAATTACTAAACAGTTGATAGAGTTCATATTGTATGTTGGATCATGCCGGCGGTATCATAATAATTACAAAGTGGCAACAGTATGATGCTTGTGACAATGTGATGTTACTCTGAGTGTATATCCACACCGAGCAGCTTGAAAAATATGAAGGATTTCAGCAAGCTCAAAAATAGATCACAAGGTTAGGCAGATGGCTGCTGTGCTGTAGTCTGTGGTTCGAACCCGTTGGGACAGCTTGTTGGGACAGCTTTTTGTTCACCTTAACTAAACATGTCTTTTTTTTCTGATTTAATAGTTTTATTTTTTTAGGGGTAGAGGTTAGGGTTAGTTTTGTTTGAATTTGACTTTAACTATATAAGTACAACCTGTGTGAAGACTAAGAATGAGAGTGCCATAAATATAGCCTGGCGAAGTTTGTTTACGGGCCTGAAGATATAACCACTTTGTAATAATTATTTAGAAAAGCAATTTATTTTGTGTTCAATATATAGACCACAGTAAGACTTTTTTAAATGTTTATTTCATTAACAAACGACGTTTCGGAGATTTACTCCATCTTCAGGTAGGATTACAATTTGAATTTAAACTAACATGCGCATGCATAAACGTTAAAATTGCGACCGTTATTCGCGCGTGCGAAATTGCGTAAGCATATAAATTACGTGCACGTGTCCGATTAATTCTAATAAAAATTAGAAATTGTTAATTCTGTCTTTAATGTTTAAACTACGAAATCTAAGATATTTAACTGTTCGTATTTTCCATTCAAGTCTGGATTAAGCTTTTGGATGAATAATGCTTCGGTAATTTTCCGTTCTACAGATCCTTTTGTTCTTTTTAAAATCTTAACAGACAGTTTAGGTTTTTGTCCGTAATGTTGGTCGAGGTAGTGTTTCGAGAAAGCCATGTTTTTATAGGACTTTGCTTTCGGGTTTGCTGCGGAACGAAAATGTTCTTGGTATCGAAACCACCAATGGTCTGCCTGTCTCGCCTACGTACGTTGCTCCACAAAGGTCACAGTTGATTTGATACACGACATCTTTCTGTGTACACTGAATGGGAGCATTTGAGTTGCTGCAGATTGGGCATTTAGAGGTGTCTCTGCATACTTTATCGTAAGGTCGCGATTCTACGAGGAGTTGTTTAAGCGAGCTTTGTGGTCTTTCAACTATTCTGACATTGAGGTTTGAACTCTGGACCGCTCTTCGGATGTCAGTCGTAAAGCTTCTGGAAATGAATGGAATTGTGAATGTGGGAAGAGGTTCAACTTTCGATTTTGGCAGTTTTCGTTTTGTTGTCTGGACTTTTTTTATATAGTTGTTGCTATAGCCGTTTCGTCTCGCTCTTCTTTCAAACTTCCGTTCAGCTTCTTCAAACAAGGCGTCGGTTGAACATATGGAAGTATATGTCTTGATGGTATTACCGATAGCGGTCCGTTTGATTTGTTCTGGGTGGTGTGATTTTGCATTCAACATTATTCCTTTGTTTGCCGATTTTGTATGCCATCCCGTCTCCACTGTTCCAGATTCGTTCACCTTGACTTTTGTGTTGAGGAATGGGAGGAATCCATCTTCACCTGGCAACTCGATTTCGAATCATATTGATGGGTCTTGTGAGTTAAGCTTGTCTTGGATCTTTACAGCTTCATCTGGACCGCTAGCAGGTGTAATACAATCATCAATATATCGATAATACAAGGGAAGGGAAAGAGCCTGGTCGGAATAGATTGCTTGGTTTTCTATTCTGTCCATGAAGAGTATAGCGAGTATTGGGGCTAACCGGTTTCCCATAGCCAGACCT